GGGGGGGGTGTTGTTCAATTTTGTTCTCTTTATCTGAAACTTAAAAAGACAGGCAACAACATGCGCATATATGTACAATGAAATATATGCAAATTCTCATTTCGGACTCGTGTATGATGGTTCAAAATGTGCCACAACACTGCGTTAGGTCGCTGTTGATCTGACACGGTAGTACGTGCCCGCTACGTCCTTCAAGAGTTAATAAGCACTAGCCGCCGAATACAGGGATGAGAATCGGAAAATTGCCTAGTGCTCGCGTTCTGTGCGACCTTGGCGCCGAGTATCGCTTTTACTGGGCTATGGCCACCGACATCAAACGGGGCTGAAAGTCTGATACGGTACACTAGTCCAGACGACAGATTAATATAACGCTCGATCAGGCGCATATCTTGAATAAATTATGCTGTAAATGGTAAAAACAGCATTGACACAGTTCAGATCATTTACGAGGTGGTATTATAGTGCCTGTTATTATGATTATCTGGATATGTCAGGATCTGTCAGAGTTCAAGTGTTGTCTTGTGTGGTACAGTGGAACACGTCTTTAAGTGTAAGTGTAAGCATAAGAGAAGGTTTAACTCATGCCTTCTGCGGGCGAGGAAGTGACTAACCGCTAGCACAAACTCCGTTTGGTTTTTGTTATTTGTTTGTTGCTGCTAATTTTTGGGGGGTTGTTTTGTTTGGTTTGTTTGTTTGTTTGTTTTCGGGTGGTGTTGGGTTTTTTTGGTTGATGGTTTGTTTTGTTTCGTTAAGGTTGGGTTTTTTGGTGGTTTTTTTTTGTTTTGGGGTTTGTTTGATTTTTTGTTTTTTGTTTATTTGTTTGTTTTGGAGGGGGGTTGAAAACGGGACGTCCAGCTTTACTTCCACCTCCGACAAGACCGAGTACACTGAAAGTCATGGAAAATCCCCAAACGATCCAAATTCAAATATTTATATATGTGTGCGGTGCGTATGAGAGTAGGTGCCTGTGTGCATGCCTAAGCGTATGTATGTGAGCGCACCCGCGGGCGAATGTGCGTTTTGTGCGTGAAAGTGTATGT